TTTAGATAGTCCTTTGATAAAGGGTATTAGTTTCTTATCACCTTGTCTAACCATTAGTTCTTCTGACAACTGGATTCATATTTAATTTTAGCTAATAGAATTAAGAAACATAATGTTATCTACTAAGAGATTGAAATTCTTCTGAAGGGAAGCTTCATTTAAAGAGAAGAAAAGGAGAAGAAAGATGAGGCTTGACCCAACTCTCAGTTGAACAAATCTCAGTCGCCAGTAGAAGAGTAAATGGAATGTAAGGTGCAGAGAATCATGGGATTCTTAACTGAATACTTCTAAGGAAAGGACAACCGTTAGCTAGGTCTTAGTCCTAAATGAATGTTTACTTACAAAAAATGGGGTGGGACTACTCTAAGATATTGTTTTGATGGGTTCTATTAGCTGATGATATAAATAAAAGGAATATGTCATGAAGCTTTATAGTCTTCTTTGTTGTAAATTCTCTTGGAAGAACAAAGGTAGTATCAAAACTGTTATTGGTGCCTTTGAAATCTAACACGCAAAAAATAGAATTTGTAGGCTTTCAAATTGCTGCTTTCCTGTAGTAGTAATGAAATAGTATAATCACTCTGAATAATTCTGCCACTTTTACCAGCTTTCAAAGGGTATTATGAATTGTGAAGAATCAAATCCAAAGATCTAAATAGCACCTTGGGTTTGATCTGTCTTATGTCACCTGCTAGACTGCAGGGGAGTCAGAAAAAAGGGTATAATATTAGGTACCAATGTATTAGGTTAAGTTTTATGGTGACATTACAGATGGCAATCACACTTTACAATAGTAAGTTTATAGTTATTTTTGCTAATATTTTCTTTATCTGTTGTGTATTTGCTGGGGCTTTTGTAGTGATTATTCCTTTGAGCCTAGCTGAAATTAAAGATAAGGAAAATCCTAATTGGAGCTTTCGTTACTACATATAATTATTTTAGGAGGAGCGAGGTGGAAAGGATTCATAAAACTAAGCTGGTTTGACACCCAGTTGCATATATTTATTTATAGCCTCTATGTTACTCATTTATTTTCCTACAGTATAAAACTGTCTGAAAATTTAAATTGAAAGACTATACACTTAAAGTAGGAGTCTGTTTAAAATAATGGAGTAAATTATGAAAAACAAATGAAGTTTATTTGGTATCTTTTGAACATTATTGAATTCTAGACTTGAAAATATGTATAAGCTAATTTTTGTAGCTATGGTAATTTTACCATTTCAGTAGCTGTACCAATTGAAAGTATAAAATGCATTAATTAATATAGGCTGTAGTGTTTCTATTTAATGGACACCAAATTCATTTATGATATGTAAAATCTAAGCAAGACATACTAACCTAGTTCCAGTGAAAAAGCCTGAAAAGTGTACTCTTTATTATTTTTAAAAACTAGCCAATTCAGGATGAGGAGGTAAATTTTTACTGAGATAGTTTCTCTGACACCAAGAGACGTCTGTGTTCTGCCTGCCCTTGTCTCTACCAAAATTACAGTTGAGTGATTGAGTAACTTGGTCATGAAAAGGTTTATTCTCTAAATCAGTGTCAGCAAACTATGACCTATGGACCAGCTCTTGCCTGTATGGTAAATTTTTATTAGAACACATCCATGCTCCTTCATTTACATATTGTCTATGGCTACTGTGGTGCTATAATGATAGTGGTGAGTAGTTGCAGATCAAGTGATCCACAAAGCCTAAAATATTTACTATTATTTAGCTCTTTAGGGAAAAGTGTGCTGACTCCTGCTCTGTATCTAAGTCTTTTGTAGTCAGATCATGTTAAAGTTCTGGTGGAGGTTTATGAGGTTAGTATTTTTGTGTTTAATTTCCCATGTGCTTCATTCTAAGAAAGAATACTTCTTTAAAAAAGGTCATTTTGGGTTGTTAATGTACAGCTTTCTTATCCAAAAGTAGGTATAATACCACCTATGAGGATTCTATGAGAAATGTAGATAAAGTACTTAGGGGAGTGCCTGGCACCCAGAAGAATTCAGGTAGTGGGGAGGTATAATCAGGGGTAGTCTAGGTGTTTATTTGGGTGATTTAGGATGGCATGGCTTTAGAGATTCTGATTTGTTCACAGAGCTGACTGTAATGGCCTAGTTTATCCAGGTTTTTAATATAACATTGCTGATTAACTTCCCTCCATCCTTTTCTTCCTTCCTCCCTCGCTGCCTTTTCCCCCTCTCCCCCTTTCTCTTTCCACTCTTCCTCTTGGTCTTCATACCTTGTCCTCTCTTTCCTTTTTCATTTTTAATCTTCACCTGAGGATATGTTTTTGTTTTTAATTGTTGTTGTTTTTTTGGTGTTTTTTTTTTTAGAGAGGGAGAGAGAGAGAAACATTGATTGGTTGCCACCTGTATGGATCCCCACTGGGAATAGAATTCACAACCTAGGTATATGCCCTGACCGGGAATTGAATCTGCAACCTTTTTGGTGCACAGTACAACCCTCCAACCAACTGAGCCACCTGGCCAGGGCTCCTCTCTTTCCTTTTTTATATATGTAAGCATTGTTCCTCAGTTTAGGTGAGTAGGTAACTTACTCTAGGGAGAATATGCATTGAACCTAACACAGTAGAATCTCCCTTCTTCTTAGTTCCATTCTCTAGGAAGCAGAAGAACTCTAAAATCTTGTGATTTTCCCCCCCTACCTTCTTTATTCTTTTGTGATAATGTATATATGTTAGCAGCCATGTAAATTTTATGTATATGTAAAATTTACTACTACTTACTACTACTGTAGCAAATTTTAGGGTCGATTTTTAGTTTTGTCCTGAACCATGATGGTTAAGGGTTCACTTTTAGACAGGCATGGTATTCTTCTAGAAGACAGGATAGATTATCCCTAATGTTTTGAAGGAAACTCGAAGAGTTAGTGATGATAGAATTGAGCCTACCAGTCTTTTTTTTTTTTTTTTAATATATCTTTATTGATTTCAGAGAAAGGAAGGGAGAGGGAGAGAGAAAGATAGAAACATCAATGATGAGAGAGTCGCTGATCGACTGCCTCCTGCATGCTCCCAACTGGGGATCGAGCCCACAACCCAGGCATGTGCCCTGTCCAGGAATCGAACCACGAGCTCCTGGATCCTTGATCGATGCTCAACTGCTGAGCCATGCCCGGCTGGGCGAGCCTACCAGTCTAGTCTTGTATTGCAAGCACCTCGTAGTTGTATTCTTGTTTCATGAAAACAAACTTAAAAAGCTGTTATTTTAGAAGATCAGTTTGAAGCCTGGGACCTAACCCTTTCTAGTTATTATAAAACCAACAGTAATATAAGAGAGCAAGGCAAAAGAATCTTGGAATATTTTTTGTTTTTATCGGTATCTATTATTATTTTTTGGTAGTTCTTAGTTTTGTATGTGTCAGTAGAAAAGATATGGAAAAGAGGTGAAATTCTAGGATTATAGTTATAACATTAGCAGACTCTTCTGTTTTAATTGAACTAAATTCTTTTGTTTGTGGCTTCAAAAGGTATTAAAGTGAGTCAGAATTTCTCACTGAATATTTCTACCTTTTTAGCACTAATACTTAAATTCATTAAACTTAAATTTTATATACTACCATTCTATTAAAGATGTGTCCTTCCTGTTTTCTCATTTATTTTACAATAAGCTGAGATTTTGGTAGAGGTAGATATTAATCCCTAGTCTTTTAGTCTCAGACTCACATACAAACATTTAATGGTTTTCTTAGAACTCCATTTGAGTAAGTATAAAGTTAGGGACATAAATGTTGAATGTGCTTTATTTTGTGTATTTATAGGAACCAGACAGCAAGGTTTAAAAAGTAATTTTGTGTCTGGAAATAAGTAGATAACATGTAAGAGTGTTTAGTTTTTAAAATATTTTTTTGAGCCCTGGCTGGTTTTGCTCAGTGGTTAGAGCATCGGCCCATGGACTGAAGGGTCCCAGGTTCGATGCCAAGGGCACATACCTCAGTTGCCCGCTCTCTCCCCAGCCCTCACTGGGGCTCAATAGGGGAGGCAACCAATCAATGTGTCACTCTCACATTGATGTCTCTCTCTCTCTCTTCCTTTCTCTCCCTTCCACTCTCTCTGAAAAGTAATGGAAAAAATATCCTCTGGTGAGGATTTAAAAAAACAGCATTTCTTTTTTTTTTTGAGAGATTAAGAGTTATCTTGCCAGGATACAGGGAGAGAGGGAGGAGAGTGTAAGTCTTGGTGAAACATAACTCAAAGGCATGTAGTTAGTATTAGCATGCTGTTTGCTAGTCTACAAGAAAAACCATTAACAGATTGATTTATTTAGAGGAGAAAGAGGAGGGGGAAGAAGAAAAAAGAGACATATTTGGGAATAGTGAATTTTGTTTTCCTTTCTTTGGCTAAGCTGCTGATTAACTGGCAGCTAGTGAAGAGAACAGTCAGGATATTCTACTCCTGGACAGCTGGATAGGGCAACAGTTTTAGTTGTTCATGAATCTCTGGAAGACCTTGGGTGTTTAACTGTGACTTGCACATAGGCGGTTGTCTCTGTACTGTATCTGCCACTATCCTCCTTGGCATCTCCATGCCAGATCTGCATCAGAATTTCTCACTTGTTTTAATTATGATCTTGTTTCTGTGATTTCTTTTGTAATTTTTGTATTGTTTGGTGTGTTGGATAGCCTTTCCAAAAGTTAATGCTACATCTTCCTGGAGTATTGTTGTCCATTTAAATCATTATTTTAACATTGTGTGCATGTAATTTGTTAGTTCTTAGATCAAGAAGTCTTAGTCTGTTTGAGACTATATGGGAAATTTGAACCACAATGTGTATGCAGTGGATTTCCCTGGTCAGTTCTCTAGTAAACCAACAAAAACTATTTACCTGAAGCAGTTTATGCTCTTTACCTTACTGTTGTTTTGAAAGTTTAGGTTATGAATTTGAAATATTTTGCAAATTATCTTTTCTATAGTCAAATTTACTGTTATTATGTGTTTTATCTTTGATGAAGAATGGGAATAATCTTATGATAAATTCTGTTTTCTTATAGTCAAAGGAGATTGGTTTGTTAGATGTGGATGTGTACGGCCCATCAATTCCAAAGATGATGAATCTGAAAGGAAATCCAGAATTATCACAGAGTAAGTAAAAAGAGATAAATAGTATAATAATTTTTATACTTTTATTCAGTGTTTAGCTAAATAAAAGTTAGGTCTTTTACTATGTACTGTGTGTGCACGCAGTATAATACAATAATTCTGAAATCAGATATGGAGCTAGACTGCCCGAGTTTGAATTCCAGCTCTGTCATTAACTGTGTGGGTTTGAGTGAATTGTTCAACCTCTTTGTGCCTCAACTCCCCCTGCCTCCCCATGTAAAATAGGGTTAACAATTGCAGTGAGTAATTGCTCAATTATAAAATTGTTGTCTCTATTGGAGGTGGGAAGGGGGGAGTTATTTTTTAATAGGTACAGAGTTTTTATTGGGGATGATGAAAAAGTTTGGGATATAGATAATGGTGATGATTACACAATATTGTGAATGTATTTAATGCCACTTAATTGTGTACTTAAAAATGGTTACAATTATGTTATGTTAGGTATAGTTTACCAAAATAAAAATTTTTTTAAAGAAAAAAATTGCTGTAAGTGTAATGCATTTAACACAGTGCCTGGCACATAGTAAGTGATCAAAAGTTAGCTTATCACTATTGTCTCTTTATAGTAAATATGTGGATATATGGGAGTATTTGAATAGAAAGTATATAATAATATATTTGTGTTAGAAGAGATGAAAATCATTTTCTCTAATCAGATTTTTGTCATATTTGTCTTGAAGTGTTTAAAAAAACCAACCCAAAACATTAGTTTCTTTCCTTAGTCTTCAGTGCCATCTAATAAGACAGAGTAATTTTTTTGAGTAAATCTTTAATATTTACTATTCTTGTGATTACATTTTCTTGTAAAGCTATCAAATATAAAGCTTTAAGAACAAGAAAATGCTGTGATCAAAAAATTAAAAATTGGAACAGCTAATAACTTTTCTTGAAAAATGGTTTTAAATGAAATTAATTTATTAAAATTTACTTCTAATTATAATGAATATAAAATTAAATAACTTCTTTTTATTTCTTATTAGGCTTTTTATTTTCCATGGATTTGGAACAAAATTACTATATTTACTGAAGAGTATTTATTGGATTATCTATACACTATGGTTTTTTTTTTTTGGTCATTGAAAGTTAGTTATAGACATTGCTATTTAAAATGCTTTTGTTTGTATTTTAGTTGTTGGAGTCAATTACACTGCTAAATTCTCGATAATTATTTATAAGACAATAAGGATTCTTCTTAAAATTTTAAAGGAAACTTGAAGATCTAGTAGATGATAAAATTGACCCTAGAAGTTTTATATGAAGGCACCTACTTAGTTGTTTTCTTGTTTCATGAAAATATAAACTTAAAAAGCTAAATTATTCTAGTTTCTTTGTTCTTTGCCCTTTTAGTGGAATTCATACTTAGTTTGCAAATATGTGATGTTAGCCAAGATGTCACTTTCACAAAGAAGTAGTATGAAATTTGCATACCTTAAGTGATAGACTCATTATGTCTGTTTCTTGATTAAAGTAATGTGAAAACTGGTGCATGCAGCACATGAGTGATGGCAAAATGGAACCCTTTGGTGTCACTCTTTTCTTAAGCAGTCTGTTCAGTCTATGCCAACATAAATACTTGAAGTGAACTTTAATTTCTCTCTTTTTGTTTTACTAAAGCTGTAATCTTAAATTTGATGTTTGCAAATTGCCTGGCGTTACATAAGCTTTCTGGTAAAGACAAGCTACTGGAAATCTGGAAAGCTTGAAAAGAATACTTTGTGTGTTGCCGAGCTGATTTTAAGTGCCCCAAGAAATAAACTGAATAATAACGGTATTCACTTAAAGGAATGTGGATTCTTAAAAGCCCAGCTTATGAATTATTTTTTGAATCTTAGATAAACCTGCCACCATTATACTAATTGGCATCATTTTGACATTTCTACATTTTATCATGTGACTTTATTCTTTTGTACTCTATTACAGAACATACAATGCAATTTGAAAATATCTAATTAACAAGAATGAAAAACTGAAAGATTTGTTTTCAGCAGTTTATTTTATTTTTTATTATATATTATTGTTGAAAGTATTACAGATATCCCCTCTTTTTCCCCGTTGATCCCCTCCACCCTACATCCGCCCCCCTACCCCAGGCCTTCACCACACTATTATCTGTGTCCATGGGTTATGCAAATATGCATATAAATTCTTTGATTAATTTCTCCCCACCCACTCCCCCACCTTCGATTTCCCACTGAGATTCATCAGTCTGTTCCATGCTTCCATGTCTCGGGATCTATTTTGTTTATTAGATTCCACATATGAGTGGAGATCATGTAAAACTGAATCAGGAAGACTCAGAAAACCTGAATAGTCTAACAACAACTGATGAAATTGAAGCAGTAATAAAAAAAATCCTAGCAAACAAAAGCCCTGGCCTGGACGGCTTCACAGGGGAGCTTTCTAATTCTTTAAGCTGTAGGGTTAGATAGTTTATTAAAAATTTTTCTTGCTTTTTGATGTAGGCCTGCAGTGCTATGAACTTCCCTCTTAGGACTGCTTTCACTGTGTCCCATAGATTTTGGGTTGTTGTGTGTTCATTTTCATTTGTTTCAGGAAGTTTTTGATTTCTGTTTGGGTCTTATTGGTAACCCATCATTGTTTAATAACATGCTATTTAGCCTCCATGTGTTTGAGTGTTTTTGAGTGTTTTTACTGTAGTTGATTTCTAATTTCATGCCACTGTGATCCGAGATGCTTGATGTGATTTCAGTCTTCTTGAACTTCTAGAGACTTGTTTTGTGTCCTAATATGTGATCTGTCTTTGAGAATGACCCATGTGCACTTGAGAGGAATGTATTTTCTGCAGCTTTGGGGTGAAATGTTCTGTAAATGTCAATTAAATCCATCTGATCTAGTGTGCCATTTAGAGTCGCTGTTTCTATGTTGACTTTTTGTCTGGAAGATCTATCCAATGAGGTCAGTGGGGTGTTAAAGTCCCCGACTGTGACTGTACTGCTGTTGATATCTCCCTTAAAGTCCTTAAGGTTATTATTAATAGATACTTACCTATTGGCATTTTAATTCTTTATGCCTATGTTTCTCTCTCTATTTCTTCTTATTATAAGAGTCCGTTTAACATTTCTTGCAATGCTGGTTTGGTGGTGATAAACTCCTTTAGCCTTTTTTTGTCTGGGAAGCTCTTTATTTCACCATCTATTCTGAGTGATAGCTTTGCTGTACAGAGTCGTGTTGGTTCAGATCCTTGTTTTGCATTATCTTGAATACTTCAAGCCATTTCCTTCTGGCCTATAGAGTTTCTGATGGGAAGTCAGCTGACAGCCTTATGGGAGCTCCTTTGTAGGTAACAGATGCTTTTCTCTTGCTGCCTTAAAGATCCTCTCTGTCTTGAATTTTTGGTATTTTAATTATGTCTGCGCATGGGCCTCTTTGGGTTCTTCTTTTTTGGAACTCTCTGTACCTCCTGAACTTGTGTGATTTTTTCCTTGACCAGGTTAGGGAAGTTTTCTGCCATTATTTCTTCAAACAGGTTCTCTAACCCTTGCTTACTTTCTACATCTTCTGGCACTCCTATGATGCAAATATGGTTACATTTCATGTTGTCCCACAGCCCCCTTAGACTGTCCTCTTGTTTTTTAATTGTTTTTTCTTTTTGGATCTCTGAGTGACTTTTTCTACCCTGTCTTCTAATTCATTTATCTGATCCTCAGCTTCCTCTAATCTGCTGTTTATTCCTTCCAATGTATTCCTTATTTCTGCTATGTCATCCTTCATTTCTGACTGGTCATTTTTCATAGTTTCTATATCTTTTCTCATGCTGCTGAGCATCCTTACAATCAGTATTCTGAACTCAATATCTGATAGATTGCTTATCTCCATTTCATTTAGCTCTTTTTCTGGAGACTTCTCTTGTTCTTTCATTTGGGGCTTGGTTTTTTTGTCTCCCCATTTTGGCTGCCTATTTGGATCTGCTCGGACTCTCAATCTTTTTGGAGGATCTCTGGCGCAGGCCAGTGTCAGATGCTCTTTGTGACTGGCGTTGAGTAGCCTATTTGGAGCTATCAGCAGCCCAGGGCTTGTGGTTCCCTCTGCTGGGCTGGCTTATTGTTCCCTCTGCTGGGGCTGGGTGTGTTTGGACAGGACCAAGATGCACACCAAAGTCTGCTTTTCCAAGGCCCGGGTCCAGAAGCAGATCAGGGAATGACTCAAAGCTCCCAGAGTTCCACCTCTGCCTGTAGGCTAATTGATCTTAGCCTCTTAATGAGCCTCAGGCTGTAGGCCACATCAAGGTGTAAACTCCACAGAGTGGGGCGAGAGGTTTTCCAGTGTGTGGGGCAATTGCTTCCCCCTCCAAGCAAAAGCTGCCTGGCTTTTAAAGATCTGCCTCAGAAAGCTGTCTTCTGCAGTATGGGGGAATGACTTAGCACAGGAATCCAGATGGCTGCCCTCTGAGCTTCATCTCCAGAGCCCAAAATCCCAGATTCTTCTCACATCGCTCTAGTCCACTCTGCCCTCCCTCTGCCAGAGCCCAAGGTGAGTGGCTGCACATGAAACTTTGTGCGTTGGCCCTTTAATAGGGTGCATGCATTTCCAGTTGTCTCTCCCTGGCAGACAGAAATCCTCCTGCTTTTCACAGCCAGATGTTATGTGGGCTCTTTTCTCAGTTTTGGTGTTCTGGGCTGGGAAGCCCAGCTTGGGGTTTAGGCCCCGGAGTTCTCAGTGGGAACCCCCCACAGCTGAGATATCCTTCTATACCTTCAACTGCTGCCTCTGGCAGCCCAGCCAGCCCTCTTGCACTTCTGCACTTCCTACCAGTCTCTATGTGGTCTCCACTTTTCCTCCTTGGTTTTGAGGGTGCTCTCCAGCTTGTCTTCAGTTGCAGTTGATTATTCAGGATGATTTTTCTCTATTTTAGTTGTAATTCCAGTTTGGTCCTGGGAGTGTGTCAGTGTAGCTTCCACTCAATCTGCTGCCATCTTGGAATCCTCTGTTTTCAGTGGTTTAGATTTTGGGGAGATAGACCA